AAAAAAAAATCGATTTTGTCAAAATTAGGTATCACATATTATAAATTATAATTATAGTTTTTTGTATTATTGTTTCTCCAGATTTTTTTATTTTTATTAATGATACCCTCGGCAACATGGGCCATTGRGTTTAAAGTGAGAAATATATATAAAAAAAAAAAAATTACATGAATTGTATCTATATCTAAATTATACTAAATTTTGGTTAGAAGATTGGCGGCTGCGATGAATTGTATGATGTTGGTAATAGATTGAGGATTGTTGTTTAATATTTCTGAAAGTGATGATTCGGGCAGGTATTCTCCAGATTATTTTTAAATGTCCTAAACATTCTTTTCTTTTGGCCCCAGATTTCCAACTACATATTCAATTTGTTACAAGTAGATAAATAAATAAATAAAAATAATATAGAAGTTCAAATGGATGAAGTGCTTTTTCTCTGGGCTCTGGCCCAAAGGTTAGGTATTAACCTAACCTAACCTTCCGATGTTCTGAACCGGCCACTGCTGCAGCAGTGTATGTCCGCGCGTAAGCCGTGCTCCGTTCGTTCCGAGTTTTCGCATCTTCATGACTTCCTTGAGACGGTTGATTACTATATTATGTTCTTGCAGCGCCGGTACTCGGGTTTTGAGGCACATACATTGTCTCCGTCAACTAAATATTGCTGCTTTGCACTTTAGCCCTCTGCATATTTGACACGCGTGTCTTGACCAAACAATAGTTGCAGTTTGGTGGCTTTGCGGTTCGCGGCCTACTACTGCAGGACAAATCGAGTGGGTATTCTCTCATCGATATCTCGACACTTTGAAACTGGATCCACATTACCTTCTCGGCTGTTTTTCGAACCCCATTTTTATTGACTTATTTTGCAAACATTTGATACCTAGCCGTTCATCTTTTTTTTTTTTAACTTAAGATTGTATTGATCAACTAATGTTACACCATCAGTCGTTTTAAAAATACATTTTGCCCTGGAATTATTTTATAAAACGCATTCTTTGGCTTGATATTTTATTGAGTCATTACCAGAGAATACACAAGAGAAAACAGTATTTCATAATGCAGCATCGTCGATTTACGCTTGTTTACATTGTTGGTTTGCTACATATCTCTGAAAAAAGTGCCTTCAAAATAAAACAATTACATCTGAATTACTTGATAATCAACTACAATAGCACCGGYTGTTTGTTTAGGTATATTAACTTCCTTATTAATTATACTATGTATATAAGGAAGCCAATTAAAAGAGGTCGTAATTTCTTTTGTTATTTCATTAATTGAAATAATATTATCACATTGAAAAATAAAACATTAAAACATAATACTTAATTACATTAGGAAGTTACTTTAAAATTTAAATTGATTGTAATTATTCGTTTCTGTATATATAATATCGAAATATTTATTCGAGAAAAGTTTAAATATTTAATTTCCAACGAGTTGATTCAAWGTAAAAAATGTCTTTAAAATTAATATACTAGATTAAAATTTAAAAAAAATTCAAATATAACTATCATTGGTCATGATGAGAGAAACTAGGAAATTGAACGAATATTGGATCATCATATACAACATCACCATCAAGCATAAATTCTAAAACCTTACATAGAAAGATTGTACGAAGTATATGATGAAGTTTTAATTATTGTACATAAGGATGCATATTTTGTATTCTGTAGCTACCGCGCTGCAGAACGTTTATGTAAATTTTAACAATTTTTAACCAAACCAACAATAATMAAATTTTTATGTTAGCTCTAAGAGGCTAAGAATGTAATTGGGAAGAAAAAATGTGAATGTATAGGTATCAAATATCAAATGTGTAAAATATGTATTTCATATTTGTATGTTTTTATATTGTGAGTAAAACAACTGAGTTTTCAAAATAACATAATAACAACTATAAATTATAAAGTATATTATACAAAATGTGCACACCATCTATAAGAAACTGGAAATTATACATAATATTAATTATTATATACATAATATCATATGAAATATATCATTTGGAGGCTATCAGGTAAAAAGAGATCGGTGCAAAATCGTGTTGTAATTTAAGATAGCCCAAAAAAGGGGAAAGTGCGCAATYGTATTGAAGCAGTTATTACACTATTATACAGGTATAACGAAGTAACACCTGTTGTCCTGAAAAATCAATAATTTTAAAATTTGGAATATTCTTATTTAAATTTTTATTTATCTCATAGTTGTATAGGCGAAAGTAATAAGGGGACAAAAGAGCTACCGCTACGCCATGAAAAAACAATAATCAATTTAAAATACACATTTTTAGTTATAGAAAAGTTGATATTATAAATAAAAAAAGTTAATTAAGGTAATTATAATATCATTGTAACTATATTATGATTTGTTAATAATTATTTGTTTAAATAGGGTTAAAAAAATGTTTTGTAAGTACTGCAGTTATAAGATTATCACAATTCTTATCTGTAATCTTATAATACCTATATGTAATAAACATTGTGTTATGATAAATAATGGAAAGTATTTTTATAAATAAAAAATAATCCTTGTAGCATATATTTTAATATAAATAACTAATAAATGTTTGTTTTATTTTAATATATAAATAAGAGGCAGGCAATAAAATCTTGTGAACCATAGTTATGCAAGGGATATTAAATTTATAATCGTATTAAATTAAATATTAATATTATTGAGAATTAATAATTATATTAATTAGTTATTACATTAATAAGTGTCCGACTTCTAAAATGTGTTAACCGAATTATAGAACACCTACCTACAACAAAATAAACTTACTTTGAAAATTTAAATTTAAATTGTAAATACCATTATAAATAATAATGATATTGATCTATTAATTCAATGAAGGGCACTGGGAAGCCAAATACTAATACGATTACAAGTGTACAATCCAATTTGCAATGTAGAACATCGTTGGAAATACGCCCCCCCCGAAATACACTCCTTTTTTCTTTTCATGCGAGAGTCACGTAATATGTAGAATATTTTACTAGAAATGTTATTATAGTGGAAAAATCGTTTGTTTTATAATAATTTGAATAAACAAAAAATTGAAGATATAATAATAAAATAATGATTGTATGTGTACAAATGATTTAAATGTTCAAGCAAACATTAATTATCTAAACTTAAAGTAATAAGCAATGTTCATTGTTCTTTCAGATTTGGTGGTTTATTTTTTTATTAAATAGAGTGCTCGCGTTACCGGTATGTATCAATCAACCAAATATAAAAGATTATGCGGTACTAAGTGCGCTTTTACCATTACATTCCGGCGACGATTGTTCCGAAACACAAATTAGAGGTATACAGCAGTTGGCTGCTTTGGAATACGGACTCAGTAAAGTAAATGCAGACCTAAGTCAATACGGAGATTTAAAAATCAGTAAGTAAAATTATATCAAATATTATGTGCTATTAATTTGTTTTTTAAATATCTGAATTGTAAGGCTTACAGATTTTAGACACTTGTTCTAATTCGAATAGAGCTGTAAAAGCCACGATGAAAGGACTGGTTTCTGCCGAGCAAACTTGCATTAAATCTCCATTGTTTTTAGGTTTGACATTTACATATTTTATTTTTATTTTAAAGCAGTGGTGTC